ATCTGGAAGATTCAAACACCTCACGCGGCTATTTCTGTTCAAAGAAAAATTCATAATGGCGTAACCTCTGCAGAGAACCTCTGCAGAGAAGAGAAGTGAAGCCACTGATGTGCAAATTTTGTCTTGATGCTCTGTCAAAAGGGGCGGGGCTAAATGGTGTAAGAAACTAAAAAAAGCTTGATCACTTTACTTAAATGGCTGCATGTGACAAAGCACCGGGAAGCAGTCCTTGCACGTATTTGCACACATTAGCACAATAGTGTCCCATGTGTATGCAGCAGTGTGTGGGCTGGCTCACATATATGTAAGTAGGTCAGAGCTGCAGTGATGCGCTGGGATTTCTTCTCTGTCTGCTTTAACGCGCACAGTGGCAGAAGGCCGGCACGCGAGTTCCTCCAGGCTCTGGACACGCTCACTACACTGGGTTAATTATAGACCGCCCTACTGCCTTTAAAATGATGATTCAGGGAAAAAGCCTCTGTTCTTTTAGACAAGATATGCTATTGCGATACTATTTTTTATTTTACTGACGAACAAAATGGGGATAGAAATAGATTGTATTATTTTGCAGATTGTTGTGATTTATTGTTTATCATTAAGGTTGTTGTTGTAGATTTTTGTTTTAGCAGACCACTGATCCGCTTCGGTACAGCAGGGGAATTTGCCATGTTATTTTCATAGCAGTGAGGACCAGTGATTACTCAAATGCAGGAATGGTTTTAATTCCATCTTAGCATCAACTGCATAGCACATTTTCACATGACAATACAATTGATACAATTTGATATGCTGCCAGTTTTATAGTGTTCCAGAAATAGGTTCTTGCTTGGGGCTTGAGGAGGTTGACATTGTTTTATTTGCGTATGTAATCTTCCAGTTGCTATATTATGGCTCTATATTGGCAGCGATTGGCTCATTGTTCTGAAGTCATCCTTAGTAAGCTTACATGCTTGCATGTGTGCTGTGGGCACATGTTAGCTGCTACACGTGATCAGTGAAACACAACTGGACCCTGCATCTGCTAATCTGATCGTGCAGATTTATACTCTTAGCATGTTCCCTGCTGCAACCAATGCTCAGAAACCTATAATATAATATATAGTATATACAATTGATATAATATATAAAATAATATAGTTGTGATTTTATTCATTTGAGCAACAAACAATAATGTTAATCATTTCAGCGGTAAATGTAATGATTGTAAGTGATATCATGGTTGCACACAGACAACGTGTCATGCGTTGCTTTTGGTGAAGAAAAGGAAAGAAACTCGCCTGTTTCCAAGACCCACGACTCTCCTAAGAGTTGAAGTTCACGTCCACAGAAAAAGATTTAGAAAGAGATTTTTGCTTCTAAACCTTGGCAACTGGACCGGGAGAGGCAGGACTATGGCACTCTAAGTTCTGGGCCTTACACTGACATAACTTTCCAGGTCATGCCCAGACGGTTGATCCACTGTTTTCTTGTAGTTGGTCTCTTGGTTCTGCTTCAGCCTGGCGTGGACAATCATAGCCGTCCTACAAATTGGCTTTGCACATTCCTCATTCAGCCTTTTACGGTATGTGTCAATAAAACAACAGCTACTGACTAAAGTTGAGTCAGCATTTTGAGTCACCGTCGAGTCATGTTACCGTCAGAGCAGAGGAGTGGGAGCCATCGTCAGGCAGGACAGACAGAACAAAGCAAAATGTTACCATGAGGGCCCCACAATTAGAAAAGTAAAGGGTTTTTATATTTCTAGGAAAAATGTAACAAGCTAATGGTTCGAGTAGATCTTTAATTTTTGCCGTAACATCGTGAATAATGCCATTTAATGCCTTTTTTTGTTGTACAGCTTTATGTTTCAACAAAGATTGTAATGCATCGATGTCCTATACTGTTCGGGCATTTCCCCACTTAGATAAAATAAGATAAACTTTATTGTCCTAATGGAAATTTGCTATGGATACAGTGCTACACAGATCTGTATGAATGAATAAAAATTACAGGAAAAAAACCTAAACAGGAAAGTGCAGTAGTGCTTTGAGGACTCTGTTTGGTCCAATTCCACTATGTTGTTGCTTTCTTGTCTTCCTCAAACATAATATCGTTGGTCGGTGATTGCATGTGGTCGAATCCGCAGACTCTCAGCTTCTGCAAGGACAACTGGAAGTCATGCAGGGCTGATACTAGAAATCTGTAATGTAATTTGATCCTGTGACGGATTCAACAACGAGACACAAGTAGGTCCTTGATAGCTCACATTCACGACTATTTACGGCCCCGACATCACTGCATACACGTTTAGAAAGCATGGAAAGTGAATAAAGACATATATCCCGCGGAATGTGTTGATGTAGCAGCCTCCATTTCAGAAAATACGTACTAACCTGCACAATGATACTTTGCATGACTCGAGTGGAGGCTGCATTCAAAATACATAGAAAGCGTGCATCAAATGATCTTTTGTGCAATTACCACCAGCATAATCGAGAGGCAGTAGTTCCCAATATGAAGTAATCCAGAATCCAGATTAAATAATTGTTTGTCATTGTCTCAAAAAAACAACATTTACATCATAAATCGAACGTCAGCATAGATTAGATGGAAAGTACACAGAATGTAAACATACAGGACACACCTTCTCATTCAGAGTTTTTTTATTTTCATGATTATGAAAATTGTAGATTCACACTGAAGGCATCAAAACTATGAATGAACTCATGTGGAATTATGTACGTACAAAAAAAAAGTATGAAACAACTGAAAATATGTCTTGTATTCTAGGTTCTTCAAAGTAGCACCTTTTGCTCCGATTACTGCGTCGCACTCTCTTGGGATTCTCTTGATGAGCTTCAAGAGTTGAAGACTTGAAGGAGTTCCCAGAGATGCTTAGCACTTGTTGGCCCTTTCGCCTTCACTCTGTGGTCCAGCTCACCCCAAAACCATTTGGATTGGATTCAGGTCCGGTGACTGTGGAGGCCAGGTCATCTGGCCCAGCACCCATCACTCTCCTTATTGGTCAAACAGCCCTTACACAGCCTGGTGTGAATCTACAGTCAATAGTCATGAAAAGAAAGGAAACTCATTGAATTAGAAAGTGTGTCCAAACCTTTGGTCTGGACTGTATGTTGGGAGAATGTGCACTAATATAGGCACTAAAGATAATAATCAGACACGACAGAACAAGCAGAGGGGGTCACATGAGGGAGGGTTATCATTAGTAGTAACATGATGTATGTAGAGTATATTTTAGCTCCATTTGTGCAAGTCCAGGTCACAGTTACGGCAGATGTGTGAGAGCCGAGAAAGATGGGGGTCCTGGTTCTGAAAGACAGTCAAAATAACTGAAAGACGAGACAGAAGACGGTCAAATTAACTCTTCAAAAATTAAGTACACAGGGCAGGGCTTTCACACTGATTGGTGTCTTTTTAAATTCAGGTGTCGATAATCTCAGTCCACCAAATTTGAGATTTCGATATTTTGATTTTTGGCACATCTCTAGAATTACTATGAATATATTTTCTTCGCAGCAAGGTTCTGAGTGAGTTCGATTCCACCTCCAGGTCTTTCGGTACAGTTTGCATGTTCTTCTCATTTCGGCATAGGTTTCCTCCGGGTGCTCCGGTTTCCTCTACCACTGAGAGGTCTGCGATGTGCTTCCTGTATGATCTCTGTGTGAAAGGAAAATGCCCACAACAACTGTTGAGGTTTTTGTGACTCTGGTCTGTGTAGGGCGCTGTATAAATAGATAAAGATTACCGTAAATTTTGGATAATAAGCCGCAGCTTTATTCTTGCATTTTGAAAGGTGCAACTTATAAGTGGGTCAATTGCTAAAACATTTTAGCATTTGACAGTAGACCAACAGAATTGATGAGTAGTTCACAGAGGACCAAGTCAATTGTATGTTATGTCCAGTGTTGTGCCAGTTCACAGCTTTTCTGAACTAGTTCAAGTTCAGTTCATCCATGCTCAGTGATGAGTGAATGGTTCACGTTCAAAGTTCACATTTTTAATTCTGAACTAGTTCAAAGTTCAGTTCATTTTCCTTTTTTCGTGAGATACTTAAATAAATATTTTTTTCACACTACGAGCTATATATATATACAGGGTGTACAGTATATATATATATATATATATCCTGTACACCCACAGGAGGAGAGCCTTTTGACTACAAAACAGACTCAAATTCAAACTCAATTCAAACTCAAACTCAAATTCAATGGGAGCCAAACGGAGTTGCCCCATCTCTGCCCATAAACAGTAATGCGCTGTAGTGCTGTGTCTATACTTTATGTCAAATGTAAACGGTGTAAACTTTGCCTCTAACTCACCCTGTGTTTTCATCACGACTCGGGCACATGTGAAAAGCACCAGCTCACAGCGCCGCACCGCAACACGGAGTCGGGGTGCGTTCACAGACGGTGGAAACCGTAGGAATTTTTAGATTTCGGCGGAAAAAGTGCGAGAATACAGGAGGGAGGAACTTTCTCTCGTTGCGTTTCAAAAGAGAAAACAGATTCCAACGTTCAAAGTGATGTCTGCCGTTCATGACACATAAAATGAACTAATTCACGTTCAAGTTCTTTTTTTAAAAATGTGTTGCGTTCAGTTCAACGTTCACAAAAAAATGAACGAGTTCAATGAACGCGTTCTTTTGAACTCATTCACGACTCGTTCATGCACAACACTGGTTATGTCAATCAAGCAGATTATATAAAGTTTTAAAGTCCTCACTTGTAGTATCTTTGTGTAAATATCTCATAATAAATAGTTTTTTGGTTCTTTGTACAGACATGAAAGTGAAAAGACTAATAGATGTTGCTCTTTATCGTTCTGCCTCACACTAAAGATAAAGAACAGCCGCGCAGTGACTCACTTCTTACTCTTATTTCTCACAGTAATAAGAAGACATAATGAACGTTTTTGAGCTATATTTTTACTTACTTACAACCCAAGATGACATGTTTTCTAATATCCCCTTCTTTCTGGTCCTCCCCGCTGTTGCTGCTCAGGCGTGGACATCCTGAAGCTGGTGTCCGCTCACGTCGGCTCTCAGTGGATCGACCTGTACCAGTCGTTGGCCAACGCCACTGAGCGGGAAGTGGCTGCCTTCTCCAACGGCTACAGCTCGGACCCGGAGCGCGCGTACGCCGCTCTGCAACACTGGACCATCCGCGACAGCGACGCAAACCTGGCCAAGCTCATCAACGCTCTGCACCGCCACCGCCGCATCGACGTGGTGGAGAAGGTCCGCTGTGTCATGGAGGACAACCCACAGGTAGGAAACAAGGATGTAACAATGATTTGATGAAATGGACTTCAAAGTGGCCATACCTGCATGTGAAAGCCAGATCCCGTCAGACATCCGAAGCTAAGCAGGGCAGGGCTTGGTTTCTACTGTGATGGCAGACCTCATGGAACACCAGGTGCCTTGTTGGGCAGCTGTGGCCAAATATAAGGCCAAACTGTTGTTGTGTCTTTAGGCAAGACATTTGACCCAAATTGTCTAGAATGAGTCTGGTGTGTGTGCAAATTCTTGGTGGTGCCCCGCCTCTGTCAGTGTGCCCCAGGGCAGTCCGCTACAATAGTCGTTTATCACCTCCGTGTATGGAGTGAAAGAATAATGATAATTTATTTGATTGTCATTCTAAGGAATCAGAAATATTTTACTCCTACAAGACAAGATAAAATCCAAATAACTAGTTCCCTGCTTGCCTGTATCATCTTTAGATCAGCTATTTTAATGAAAATAGAGGACCAGCCCTCACTCAGCCAATCAGCGTGTAAAATATATAATAATTTGTATCTAATAATTTACCCCTTCAACAATTATATTAAAGAAAGTTTCCCCAGCTTTTATGAAATAGAACTTGTAAATCTGAAACCGTTAGCAGAGATCCACGGGTAAAGAGTGATCACAGGCACTAGTTTCAAGAGGCTGGGTCTTCAGAGTTTGCAGTCCAGACACTTGTTGACAGAGGGAGTATTCAGTAAACACATCACATGCAGAACTAATGGGGCACTCACGAGCCCCGTGTGCACTGGGACTGTACATTCTGGGCCCATTTTCATACAAAAGCTCTTTTATCACTCTCCACTTCTTGTCCAGTGATGTAACACGATTCAAATCACTCCTGTGACCCCCACACCACTCAGCCAAGGTCATCCCCGCATAAAGTCCTGGTTTTGTTCGGAACCAAAATCATTAAGCATCAGGCCAAGACTCTGTCCAAGTAGAGGCTTTCTAATTACGCCTTTCATCGCGGCGTAATATCAGCTAATCTTCAACTGCTGTTGTTGTTTTGTTAGCATTCCAAGTATTACAGATACAATCGCATGACCTTGTTTATGTAACGGTATCCCCAAATTCATGTCATGTGCACCTCACACTGACCAATGCTCTGTCTAATTTCCTGGATACATGAAATGGCCAGTGATGCAATATACCAGTACCAATTATCTTCTTTTTTTTGACTGAAAAGGCAAAGGGTTGACAGATACAATACTTAATTAATTTCATCCATTCATTTTGTAGACTGAAATTAATGCATTGGGTACAATAAATTTCAAAAGGAGACTCCATCATTCTGCAGCTCGAGTCCTGACTAGAACCAGGAAGCACTATCACATCAGTCCAGCTCTCAGGTCTCTGCTTTGACTTCCTGTGGCTTAGAGAACAAACTTCAAAGCAGCTCTTCTTGTTACAAGTCTCTCCATGTCTTCGCACCAAAGTACTGTGACATAGTAGTGCCATATGAACCAAAAATCTCAAGGACTTTCCTCCTGCTGGTGCCCAGAGTCAGAACTAAACATGGGGAAGTAGCATTTCAGATGTATGCAGTATACAAATAAACTTGCCATGCCACTACAAACAAAAGCTCAAATAGATGCCATGGCCGAAGCTACACTTACCTACATGTACTGTCATTTCTCTTATCTATTCTTATGTAATATAGATTTTGACAATCATTGAAAGTTGCTTAAATGTTATTGCGTTGACTAGAGTATTCCAAAGTGTGATGTTAGAAGTGTTGCTCAAACAGACCTCATTGTTGTATTACACCTGTAGCCTAAACATGGACCAAAGCTTCTCTAATTTACACAATGGTTAGGAATGAAACCCTATTTTTTTTTTTCTTTTTTTTGGCCCTACATAAAAGTAGTGGTAGTAGGTCAAGAATTATGGGCAAAATACATTGTGGTCCTTGTATAGCATCATTAAATACAGCAAATGAAATAAGCAAATATGCAGGTAGATCTGTAACACACTGAGAGCTGATTGGCTGAGTGAGAGTTTTAACAAAAAAGCTGATCCGAAGATGTGACAAAGGCCAAAATTACTTGTGATTTGGATCTGACTCCGTATATGTTTTTCCCATAACCCTGTCCCCGAGACATGAGCTATTTTTTGTTGGATTAATGTGCTGTATTAATTTATCAAAACTAACAACTACGTGCCTTTTAGTCCAAGCCAAGTGCACTGAAAAGCATCTATCATTAGCCACAAAGCCCCAGCAGCAGCATCCACAATCATCATCTGTAATTTCACCCTCACTGGCAGTATATGACTCTGGTGCCATTAGTCCGCTCTGTAATAAAAGGGATCTAACCACAGCATTTTTAGGAAAAAGGGCGAATATTTCCCAGAAGCTGCTTCAATCTTTTCTCAAGTAGATGAGGGAGATTATGAAGAGGCTCACTAAAGCTCACCAAATGTCACAGTAGAATAAGGTGATTTGGTTCTTCTTATAGACATAATAGCTTTGTCTGTTTTCGTAATTATAGATGTAGAATTTCTGATCTTATCAACCAGGACTCGACGTGCCGTGCACAGCTCTGTAATTGGGAGATAAAAGAGGTGTAGTGCAACCCCACACCTACAAGTCTGTAAGGTCTTGTCTGCCCCAGGTTAAGGGTTTTGAAAAGGCAAACTTATTATAAAAGTAAAGAAGTCTTTTATCCTGGTTTAAGTACATCTTGAAAGTGTTATGACAGGATTTACTAAATGGGATAGTCTTGGAATACTTAAGACAAAGCCATTTTTCTCTGTACTCGAAACCAAACAATATATCAGTAGGCTATTGGCCTTAAATGGATCTGTACCAAAATATTATATTCAACTCATATTTAATTAAAGTAATAATTAAATACCTACACCAAAAGTTTGGACACACTTTCTCATTCAATGAGTGTACTTTCTTTTCATGACTATTGACTGTAGATTCACACCCAGGCTGTGTAAGGGCAGTTTGACCAATAAGGAGAGTGATGGGTGCTGGGCCAAATGACCTGGCCTCCACAGTCACCGGACCTGAACCCAATACAGATGGTTTTGGGGGTAGCTGGACCACAGAGTGAAGGCAAAAGGGCCAACAAGTGCTAAGCATCTCTGGGAACTCCTTTAAGACTGTTGGAAGACCATTTCAGGTCCAGTGTTGTGCGTGAACAAGTTCAAAAGAACGCGTTCATTTAACATGCTCTTTTTTGTGTGAACGTTGAACTTAACGCTAGAGCTGAAACAACTAATCGATTTAATCGATTGAAATCGATTATTAAAATAGTTGTCAACTAATTTAGTCATTGATTAGTTGCTAGATAACTTTGATTTTGCCGTAAGCGGCTCATTTCGTGCATATTTTAACTCTGCGGTGACCAAATGGTGGCAGTAATGAGCCACCGGAGGTTTTACAGCAGGAGAAGTAGCGAATAGCCCAGGGGTCGGCAACCCGCGGCTCCGGAGCCGCATGCGGCTCTTGAGTGCTCCTGGAGTGGCTCCTGGAGCCTTTTCAAAAATGTCTGAAAATGGAGTGTGAGGGCTATATTTTATTTCTAGTTTGAATGTGGTTTCTGTAGAAGGAAAAACAATCTTTACGTTTTTAAATGCTGTAAAAATATGTATAAGTAATATCTAATTTCAACATTTCTGTCAACGTAGTGCGTCATATCCTATGACGCGCGGTCACGCGGCCCCGCCCCATGCGGCCGCTGCTGTAAACAAACCGGCGTGTGTGCATCATAGACTGTAAGTGCACATGGATCCCAAAGCTAAAATGAGAAAGAGTCGATAACAAGCTGGACTAAGAATGAGAATGAACATTTTCTTTCAGTCAATGAGGAAGGACTGCTTCATGTTTGTAATGAGAAGTTTTGTTGCAACACGAGGAACAATGACGCGCAAAACGACGTAAACGGGGATTACGTGAAGGATTCATTCATCAAAAAATCAGAGCACCTATTTTCAGACTTCAAAACCTTCTCAAAGACGGTGAAAGAAAAGGCCATTAAAGATTTTAATTCAGCTCCAGCAAACTTCAGCCTGTGACGTGATGGATATGAGCAGACAGTGATGCAGGTATGTGAACTCTGAGCCCAAAGCAGATGTATTTACTGTATTTCTACAATTGCATGAAGGCAAAAAAATGGAAGTTAAACTAAAGCAGAGTTGTCCCGTGTTGCGTCATTCACGACACGCGTGGTGCGACACGCTGCAGTGAAAATACACATTTGATAATCATGAATGATTATTATGTATTTGTAGCCTTTACTTTGTCATTTAGATATTAGGCTAATGTAGCTAATACATCTTGCAGCCTGTGTTAACTTCATAAAAGCCTTATACAAGGCTGTTATTTTTTTGCGGCTCCAGACAGATGTTGTTTTTAGTTTTTTTGTCAATTATGGCTCTTTGAACATTTTGGGTTCCCGACCCCTGGAATAGCCAATAGCTGGCCTCCTTTTATGTCACATGCTTCGCGCACAGCTTCTCTTCAGCATACAGCAAGATGGCGGAGGCAAGCGGCAGTGGAGTAAGCTCGAGAAAGAAAAGGAAAAAAGCAGAAGACAAACCTAATCGAACTGTCATCCAAAGTGTGGGAGCACTTTACTTTGAACCTTCAAAAAAGAAGAGTAACCTGTAAACTCTGCGCTACTGACTTGGCCTGGCACGGGAGTACTACGTCTCTGCGTGAGCACCTTAAACTGACATCATCTCTCTGCAGTACTGACTGTTTGCAAAAGATGGCGCCACACTCACTGTTTTAGGCATAAAGTTGATGTTTCAACTAATTTGCACAAAGATGTAAAAAAAAAAAAAAAATACATTTACCCAGTTTATCAACTTAAATACTGTAAGCCTTGTTCGGGATTTTAAACTACTTCAGAAGCCCTAAGGATTTTCATGGTGAAAACATTATTGGAAATCTCCTTGTGAAATTTGCCTCGAGTATGTAACGGTCAGTGTTTTGTTTTGATGGTCGACATTGAGTTCAACAAAGGATT